AGATTTCTTTAAATGGCTGGAACGAGTAATTCTCCCACTCTTTGTCAAAGGTCTCTGTGTGCATTTGGGGGCATGACTTCAACACTCAGTCAGGAGTTTGACAACTCTACCTTAGCCTTAAGCCAGAATGACAGCTTAGAGTTTTCCCAGGTCTTTCCTGAACATATGAACAGCCTTGTGTATGCATGGCTGTTCATAAGCCTATGCATGCATGTGACCTTCTAGATTCCCAGGAATATAGCAGAGCTTTTCAAAACCTCCAACGGAAATATCATTCTCCAACTTTTCCTTTTGGGTTTTTTGGTCAGCTTGTTGTTTGCCCCACTGATATCATCATCTCAGGCAGCTGTGATACTAAACCATCACTGCTGATTGTTTTTTACAAATGCCTCTTGTTTGCACTGGGGAAGCTCTAAGGTCAAATAAAGACAACTCTTGGGAATGGGGAACCATTAGAAGGTGAAATAATGACAATTCTCTGGGAATGGGTCTTTGGAGGAGTTCCAACCCTATTCTGCCCCTCCAATGGCTGTTAGTCTGCTGGCTTTCACCTTTGTTGTGGGATGTTGGTTTCCAAGGCTACTGCAGAGCTGGGAGGGGAGATGGAAATATGGCAAGTTAAAATGCCACAAAGTTTACTGTTAGCAAGATTCCAGTGTTTCTCCTTTAAACTATTTTTAAATGTTTTAGATTTCAAACCAAGCACATCTTCAAGCCAGATATGGTCCAGGGGCTACTGATTTGCTACCTCTGTCCTATGCCATCTAAATGCAGAAACCTTTATTGAGAAAGAAAGAGTAAAATCCAAGTCAATATTTCTGTCTCAGTTAATGACTCATGTAAAAGCTGACCAAGCCCAGCAACAAGCTGCAGGTAGGATGACACCCAACAGAGATTTTGAAGGGATTCCATGACCATATTTGTCTGTAGGGAGGCCCCTTTGGCAGCAAAGTCAATTCTGCTCAGCCAGGGAGAGACCCTGGGGGGTTCAGGCTCTTGTCCTGGTAAAAGGTGGCAAGGATATGATAAAGGGAATTACCCAAGAAGATGAACAGCACAGACTCAAGGCATCCTCCAAAGCTGTGGCTTTCACTCATTTGTTTTTTGTTTGTTTGTTTGTTTTTGCATATCCCCCAGGAATTTTGAAAATGATACACATTTCAAAGATGACACTTGAATTATTTTATCTTAAATTTGTATAATAGCAAAGGATATAATTTGCATATTATAAATACTGACAAATTAAAACAAAAATATTACAATACTCCTTTTAAATGTATCTGACAGAATTTAAGTACCTTGCAATTTGATGCTATTAAAACCTAAATAGGGCTTCCCTGGTGGCGCAGTGGTTGAGAATCTGCCTGCCAATGCAGGGGACACAGGTTCGAGCCCTGGTCCGGGAAGATCCCACATGCCGCGGAGCAACTAGGCCCGTGAGCCACAACTACTGAGCCTGCGCGTCTGGAGCCTGTGCTCCGCAACAAGAGAGACCGCGATAGTGAGAGGCCCGCGCACGGTGATGAAGAGTGGCCCCCGCTTGCCACAACTGGAGAAAGCCCTCGCACAGAAATGAAGACCCAACACAGCCATAAATAAATAAATAATTAAAAAAAAAAAAACCTAAATAGACATTTCTCCAAAGAAGATATACAGATTGCCAACAACCACATGAAAGAATGCTCAACATCATTAATCACTAGAGAAATGCAAATCAAAACTACAATGAGATATCACCTCACACCGGTCAGAATGGCCATCATCAAAAAATCTACAAACAATAAATGCTGGAGAGGGTGTGGAGAAAAGGGAACCCTCCTGCACTGTTGGTGGGAATGTAAATTGATACAGCCACTATGGAGAACAGTATGGAAGTTCCTTAAAAAACTAAAAATAGAACTACCATACAACCCAGCAAACCCACTACTGGGCATATACCCTGAGAAAACCATAATTCAAAAAGAGTCATGTACCACAATGTTCATTACAGCTCTATTTACAATAGCCAGGACATGGAAGCAACCTAAGTGTCCATTGACAGATGAACGGATAAAGAAGATGTACAATGGAATATTACTCAGCTTACATAAAAAGAAACGAAATTGAGTTATTTGTAGTGAGGTGGATAGACCTCAAGTCTGTCATACAGAGTGAAGTAAGTCAGAAAGGGAAAAACAAATACCGTATGCTAACACATATATATGGAATCTAAAAAAAAATTTTTAAAAGGTCATGAAGAACCTAGGGGCAAGACAGGAATAAAGACGCAGACCTACTAGAGAATGGACTTGAGGACATGGGGGGGGGAAGGGTAAGCTGGGACAAAGTGAGAGAGTGGCATGGACATATATACACTACCAAATGTAAAATACATAGCTAGTGGGAAGCAGCCGCATAGCACAGGGAGATCAGCTCAGCTCCTTGTTACCACCTAGAGGGGTGGGAGGGAAGAGATATGGGGATATATGTATATGTATAACTGATTCACTTTGTTATAAAGCAGAAACTAACACACCATTGTAAAGCAATTATACTCCAGTAAAGATGTTAAAAAAAAAAAAGAACCTAGCACTTTAATAGCTAGAAATTTACATATTCCTTTTTCTCCTAGAATTGTGTTTCTATTTCCCATTTCCACCATTGAATTTTCTCCTAATGTGTTTTCATGGCTGAAAGACTATTATTGATTACTTTATCATACTCCCACTTATACGCATATAAATGAAATATAGATTTTTAAAATATTTCCTTTGATTATAAGGCTCTAATAGGTGCTAATAATGTTTATTTTAGGTGAATTATTATAATTATTAATAGCATGTAATTGATGAAAATAACGTAAGAATATTATAAATTTGGATAATTAAAGCACACGAAAAGCAAAATTTTATGGTAAATTTGTTGCTTAATGAGATGGATGGGATGTTTGTATAAATTAGTTCATGCATACAAAGATAAACATTACTTATTTTTCAGCTTTTATAAATCCAAGTCTTGAAAAACAGTTCTCTTAAATAAGCAGAATAGAATGGAGCTGCACTATAGAGATGTCTCTCAGTTCTTTGAACTCCTTCCTAGTTATATGCCAAAAAGCTGGGTGTAAGGGAATTCTCTGCATTTTCCCAGTTTTTCTGTAAGTCTAAAATTATTTCTAAATTTAAAAAAAAAATTTTAATCCCTACCCAAACCTAGCCTCAGAGAACTCAGTCACCAGACCAAAGGTCTGAAGTGAAGATCCATACTGCCCTTGTGCAGGGTGCTAAATGGCCTCAGTATAACCCTAGTCACTTGTAAAGGTATGTGTGGCTTTGTATCAGCTGATACCCTTTTGAATCTCTCCACTCCTCTGCCCTCCTCTCAACACTTTAGTCAAGACCCATGACCACATTTCCTCCCCACTTCAACGGTACCTCCAGACATCCCCCACCCTCTGCATGGGCATAAATAAGAATGGTCTCTCTTGTGACCTAGGCTCTGGGGAGGAGAGAGGGGACAATATTGGCAGAGTAGGTGTAATGGTTAATTTTATGTGTCAACTAGACTGGGCTACAGGATGCCCAGATAGCTTATAAAATATTATTCCTGGGCCTGAGATACTGTTTCAAGAAGAGATTAGCATTTGAACTGGTGAACTGATAAGCAAAGCAGATCACCCTCCCCAGTGTAGGTGGGCAACGTCCAATCTGTTGAGGGTCCAAATAGAACAAAAAAATGTAGAGGAAGGGAGACTCTGCTGTCTCTGCTGGAGCTAAGATGACCATCTTCTCCCCTCAGATTCCAATGCTCCTTGTTCTCAAGCTTTCAGACTCAGAAAGCTCCCCACTCTTCCCCAGTTCTCAGGCTTCAGCCTTGGGCTGAATTACCAGCCCACCACCTGCTTTCCTAGATCTCCAGCTTGCAGACGGCAGATCGTGGCCCTTCTTGGCCTCCATAACCACATAAGCCAATTCCTACAAGAAATCTCCTTATATATGTATCCTGTTGGTTGTTTCCCTGGAGAACCTTGATCATGCAGTCACACAGTGATCTTTCTTAAGGCAACCCTGATAGAGACTTCTCTTGGCTACAATGCCTCTAATGCTTCCTACCCTTGGTGTAATACTCAAAAGCTTGATCTGACATTCACATCTCTGTACAAGCTGTCCCCATTGTAGGTATCTTGGAGCTGATAACTTCCCATGACAAGTAAGAGTCATGCTGTCATGTTTCAACCCCATGGCTGAGAATCATCACGCTCAGGTCTCAGGTCCTCTCCCTGACTGTTTTTTGCCTCCTCAGTCAGCTATCACCTCTCGTCCACTCCATCTTCCCCCATGGAGCTCTGCCTCTATGGGCAGAGTTGAACTCACGCCAGTAAAACTGCTGGGATTCCAGCCCATAGGCAGCACGCACCTATTTTCCTCGTTCTTTTTTTCCCTCTCTTAGCTACAACTCGGAGCAACCAAAGAAAGGTTCTTCCTAATCACTTCCAGGCTTTCCTCCTGGGGGGTAAATGGCAACTTTGAATTGTATTATCCTTGTAAGCCCACGGAGCGGCAAACAATATCAACAGAGATGCTACACGTCCCGTTGGCAATGGCTGATCATAATTTTACACATAAAATTTTAATTGAAAACGAATGAACCAGGAACCATTTCAGACATTCCCAACTTCCCTTAAGATTCTGTTTTCTTTCTTTTTTTTTTTTCAAGAGGGTATTAAATAGTTTATTGATTACACATGATAATGGATGATACACAAGCTTCATTCCCATCTATAACTTTATCTGGTACCATAATTCAATTTAGATATATGGCATAGGATGTGCCAACAATCGTATTAATAACCAAAAAACTCCATAACTTTGCTTGGGTGACCCTTTTCACGGTGAACTCCAGGTCACAACACAGTAACTGTCAGTTCAGCTACACCAAGGTTTCTGAAGACAATAGCCTCTCCACCAAAGCAGGCTGTAAATAAATTTTGAATGGAAACTGGCATCACCCTGAAGGAATTCTAACTTCACACTGTTGGGGTAGTTTACCAAAATGGCTTCAGAGTAGACTAACGTTACACAGCACATTTTTAAAAAAGACACATTTATTCAGTGTCGTGATCAGACTACTACATTTAGCAATCAACAGCATGGGTGCAAAAAAAAACTCTACATTAAAACCCTTTGCTGGATATGTATATGTATAGCTGATTCACTTTGTTATAAAGCAGAAACTAACACACCATTGTAAAGCAATTATACTCCAATAAAGATGTTAAGAAAAAACAAAAAAAAAATCTATTTTGAAATGCTTTACACTTTCCACAGAACAGAAACTAAACCTGTTATACAATTAGTCACAAATACAGTCCTCAAGGGGTTTTTTGCCCATACACATGAGTATTGTCTAAAACATGTCTTCTTTGTAGCAGCTAGGCCCTGCCACCACCCTGCTTGGCTGAGCTCACAAATCTGTGGTAGCCTGGAGCTTCCCTGTCACTTCCCTGGCTCTCCTCTCCTGCTAAGCTTTGTTTCCTGGCAGTAATTACAACCTCCTGCCACTGCCATAGCTACTGCTGCTGCTGGAACCACCACAGCTACCTTGGCTTCGTGGTTTGGCAAAGTATTGGCCTCCACCACCACAGGGGCCAGAACTTCTGCCTCCAAAGTTTCCTCCTTTCATGGGTCCAAAATTTGAAGACTGATTGTTGTAATTGACAAAATTATTGTAGCTTCCACCACCTCCAAAATTGCTTCCATCATTACTGAATCCATCATAGCCATCCCCACTGCCACCACAGCCACCACCACCGCGGCTGCCACCAAAGCCAGCTCGACCACTGAAGTTTCCTCCACGGCCACCACCAAAGTTTCCAGAACCACTCTGACCTCTTTGGCTGGATGAAGCACTATCCACCTCTTGCTGAGATAGGGCTTTCCTTACTTCACAGTCGTGGCCATTCACAGTGTGGTATTTCTGAATGACAGTCTTGTCTACAGAGTCATGGTCATCAAAGCTTACTAAAGCAAAGCCTCTCTTTTTACCACTGCCTTGGTCAGTTATGATTTCAATCACTTCAATTTTCCCATACTGTTCAAAATAGTCTCTTAGGCAATGTTCTTCAGTGTCTCCTTTAATGCCACCAACAAAAATCTTTTTCACCAGGTCTTTGAGAATCTTCTCCTGAGACGGCCCTCTTTGGTTCCCCAACTCTTCCACCCACCTCCTGTGGCCTTGCCTTCATGGCTGCATCCACCTCCTCCACAGTGGCATACGTGACAACCCCGAAGCCTCTGGAGCGCTTGGTGTTTGGATCCCTCATTACCACACAGTCTGTGAGCGTTCCCCACTGCTCACAATGGCTCCTCAGACTGTCATCGGTTGTTTCAAAGCTCAAACCTCCGATGAAGAGCTTCCTCAGCTGTTCGGGCTCTTTGGGAGACTCTGACTTAGACATGACGGCTGGGGAGAGGGAGATGTCAACGATGCTTACACGGCAGCGTCCATAGGCAGAAAGCAAGATTCCATTTTCTTTCTAAATCCCATCCCATCAATCAGACCCTCAATTCAGTTACACGCTTTCTTCCCAGAACTCATTAAATCATTCTTCCACTTTTGTTTCTTTTCTCATTTTCCCCTATCAGCCTCCCTCTCTGATTTTGAGATTTTTGTTTTCTTTTCACCTCCCACTGAAATAACTTCTTGGTTACGTGCAGCACTGTTCTTTCCAGAATTACTAAATCATGCTTCACTTTCGCTTCTTTCCTCCATTTCCCTCTCCTGCTCCCACCCTGATGGCATCAGTTTATTGACCTTGGGTCTGCTTGTGCTTTAAACCTTTAGTAGAGGAGAGGAGACTTTCCCATTTCCCCCCATGTGTTTAGTTAGCAGACTGGATCTGCTAACAGCTCAGACACTGCTGTGTGGCCTTTCACGATGCTGTTTATATGTCTGTTTGTTCTTGGGTTGCTCAATAGAGGCCCCTTGCCAACATACTTTAGAAGGGGGCTGCTTGGGTATCTGACCTTTGTGTCACCCTGCCATTAACCCACTCTTCACTCACTGGAAGGCAACTCACAGGTTTTATCCCAATCCCACACCCTCCATCCCTTCCATGCCACTCTCCATCCTATCACCATATGTCTCAGTCCTGTAAGCCCTGTTCAAGATCCAGCTTCACCTGGCCTGACCCTGTTTGACAACAACCATTTCCCCAAATGAACCCGTCAGGCCTTCTGTGTACACCAGGCATTCTCAAGCTTCCATGGCAACTTGAACATGTGGATTTTTAGCTTTGAAAATGGTCTTAAGCACCATCTGCCATATTTTCTGTGTCTCTCAGGGTGAATAGATGAGGGTATCAATGAAACAAAGTTAGCCAATAGGGCTTCCCTGGTGGCATAGTGGTTAAGAATCTGCCTGCCAATGCAGGGAACACAGGTTCGATCCCTGGTCCAGGAAGATCCCACATGCTGTGGAGCAACTAAGTCCCTGTGCCACAACTGCTGAGCCTGCGCTCTAGAGCCCGTGAGCCACAACTACTGAGCCCGCGTGCCACAACTACTGAAGCCCGTGCACCTAGAGCCCGTGCTCCGCAACAAGAGAAGCCATCACAATGAGAAGTCCACGCACCACAACGAAGAATAGCCCCCGCTCTCCGCAATTGAGACAAGCCCGCATGCAGCAACGAAGACCCAATGCAACCAAAAATAAATAAATAAATAAAATTGATTCTTTTAAAAAAAAAAGAGAGATACAGTTGCCACTGTCATATTGCTGCTTTGAATAAGTAACTGTGCTTTCATCTGTCAAATTCCAGATCTTGATCTCAGGCTTGATAAGTGACATAAAGGGATGCTTGGAGGCACTGAGGACACTTTATCCAGGAGAAGGCATGGTCGAGGTAGAGAAAGAAGCTGTCATCAGTGTCAAACATCTCAAAATATTTCACACAACAGGAGTTGGACATGTTCTCATCCCATGTTCTACGTGTACAGGAGAACTGATTTCAACTTAGGCTAAGGACACATTTGTAATAGTGGGACTGGGTTGCCTCAGACAATGGTTCCCTACAACAAGCAATGTGCAGACCAATTCTGCTTTCCAGATGCTATAAAAACAACTATCTACCATGACTACACACTTCTCAAAGTACTTCATAAATATTACTTCATTTGACCCCTACCACAACTCCACACGAGGTATTATAATGCCATCTCTCAGCTGAGGATCAGACAGGTTATATAACTTCCCCAAAGCCACACAGCAGAGCCAGGACTGGAACTCATTCACATCTACCTAACTAGAAAGCCCAGGCCTTCTCCACCACACTGCACTCCCCACAGATGTGCAGAGACAGGGGTCCACACTGGCAGAAGGCTGTAAGCTGTCAGCTGTGCAGGCCACTTTAAGGCCACCCCAGCCCTAAGCTTCGGAGCTCTCACACCCCTTTTCCATGCTGTGAAGTTTCTTTTGACTGTCATTTTTTCCTTGATTGTAGCTTACAGGACTCGTGCTTCAGACCTATGAGAGTCTCAATGGTACACAGGTGCCCCAGGAGTGGATAACCTCCTTGCCCCCTCTGTTAGGTCCACGAATTAAATCTATCTGTGGCCTGTCCCCCTTCCTTCCATACTCTTGTAATCCTTGAAAGCACACATTGCTCAGTTCCTGAGAAGCATTCTCTTTCCCTGAGTAACACAGTTACTTTTTGTTCTTTTTCTCTGGAAAGTTATGTTATGTCAAACTCCCTCTCCCTCCCATCCCAGTAAATGAAACCTTAAAGACTGACTACAGTGTCTTCATCAGTCTGTTTGTCATTAGCACAGGAGAGGGAGCAATAATAGCTGTAATCAAGAACAGGGACTCAGAGCACATGTGGTACCTAGCAGTGTACTAGGGGCTGTCTGTGTCTTGTCCAGCTTCATGCTTCCAAAATCCCCATGTTGCTGCTGATGAAGAAAGGGACACTTGAAAACCTACACACAGATGTTTGTAACAGCTTTGTTTATAACTGCCAAAACCTGGAAGCAACCAAGATGCCCTTTGGTGGGTGAATGGATAAACAAGCTATGGTACGTCCAGATGATGGAATATTATTCAGTGCTAAAAAGCAATGAGCTATCCAGACATGGAGGAACATTAAATGACTATTACTAAATGAAATAAACCAATCTAAAAAGGCTATATACTATAGGATTCCAACTACATAACATTCTGGAATAGGCAAAACTACAGAGATAGTAAATAGATCAGCGGTTGCCAGGTGAGGGGAGAGGGACAGATAGATAGAGCACAGAGGATTTTTAGGGCAGTGAAAATACTGTGAATGATACTATAATGATGGGTATACGTCATTAGACGTTTGTCCAAACCCATAAAATGTACAACACCAAGAGTGAACCCTAATGTAAACTATGGACCTTGGGTGATAAGGATATGTCAATGTAGGTTCATCAATGACAATAAATGTACCGCTCTAGTGGGGAATGTTGATAGTAAGAGAGGCTGTGCATGTGTGGGGTAGATGGGATATAAGGGAAATCTCTGAACTTCCTTCTCAATTGTGCTGTGAGCCTAAAACTACTCTAAAAGAGAAAGTCTATTTTTAAAAAGGAAGGAAAGAAGGAAGGAAGGGAGGAAGGAAGGAAGACACAGCTGGAGAAGTTAAGTGACCTACCCTGGGTCACAGGCCAGTGATTGGCAGTGTTAGAATCTAGAGTCCAGTTCTGTCTGGCTTCATTGCCCATGCTTTCTAACGAGTCCGTGGAAACAAAGAGGCCCCTGACTTAGCTTTGCCTTTGAGTGTCAGCCTCGCATGACCTCCCACACCATGGGCAGTTTCTCTTTCCGAGTCTCGAGACTGATTCTGCAGAGAACAAGGGGATCTCCCCATGGAGTGTCTCTCAGAGTGTCCATCTAACAGGCAAGAAGGAACTCACCTGACCCCACTCTATTACGCAGAATAGAGTTGGCATTAGAGGCTGCCACCTTTCTGTCTGCTGACAATGCAAAAATTGAGGACGTCTGGGACTTAAAAGGAAATGCCGATTGGGCCTCCCTGGTGGCGCAGTGGTTGAGAGTCTGCCTGCTGATGCAGGCGACACGGGTTCGTGCCCCAGTCCGGGAGGATCCCACATGCCAGGGAGTGGCTGGGCCCGTGAGCCATGGCTGCTGAGCCTGCACGTCTGGAGCCTGTGCTCCGCAACGGGAGAGGCCACAACAGTGAGAGGTCCGTGTACTGCAAAAAAAAATAAAAAGGAAATGCCAATTAATGAGAAACAGAAATTCAAACACCATAAATCAGGTGGCCTTCTATATGTTGAGGAAAAGAGTTAGGAATATTAAGTTCAAGGCCAGAGCCAGATTAAGCCTGATTTGGGTGGAGAGCAGCATGGGGAGGGGGATCCTCACATTGGCCACATCAGGGGGCGTCCCGGAGCAGGTGGGCCAGTGATCCTTGCTGCCAGAGCTGAGTGAGGTCAGACTCAGAAAAACGTGGATATCTACACAATAGAGACAGCAAGTTTTCTTTCCTGGACAAATAATTTCTTCGTAATCAGGATAATTTTATCTATCACCTCTTAAGGGTAAGACATGAATGGTTTTCTTGTATCACCAGAGGAAATTCTTCTCAGAAGCTAGGTGCTTGCTGGGGAAACTATTTTATTAAGTGTTCTGGGTGAATATAATACTGATTTCAAACAACTATAGCTGAAGTCATCAACAAGTACAATGGTTATTGTATGCACAAGAATCAGGGCCATATTTTATCTCTAGGTAAAAACTATTTTTAAGGTATTTCATAAATCACCGGCAAGGTCAACCATACTAAACATTCCAGAACACACAGGGGAAATCTCTGGGGGCGTGCCCAGACCTCCAGGCTGCAGGGATTCATTGTTCTGACACTTCCTGCACACTGCACGGAGCTGTCCCGTCGTCAGCAAGTCTGCAGGGTCTCCAGAAGGCAGGCTCACTTCACAGGCCCCACAGGTGGGGACGACACTGAGCTGCACACCTCCTGTCACTGCACAGAGTGACATAACCACTGGGCTCACCCCCTGCAGGGCCGCTGCTGTCTTCACACAGCACGTGGGGACAAAAGCAACCCATGGAGTAATGGTGAGTATTACTCTACAGGGAGCATTTTGTACCCAGCCCGTCATATGGTCAGTGCTCAGCAGTCATCAGGAACAGGGACAGAGCCCCCATCACCAGGCCCAGGTGCATTAAGCAGTATGTTCAGCCCTGATGTTTGATATGGTTCATGAATAAATGAATGCACCCATGCATAATGAAACACTAATAAATGGAGAACTCCCTATTTTTGCAGATGAGGATATTAAGAGTCAGAAAAATTGTATTTGTATCTGAACTGTATTCAGAAAAACTGAAAGCCTGCCTTGAGACAGGGGTAGCCAAGGAGATATAAGTTGAAGTTGTGAGTAGAACTTC